CTCCCAGAATTCCTGAGCCAGCATGGGGGAACTATGGCCCCTTCATGACTCGTGGATTTCAACTCCCAGAATTCCTGAGCCAGCATGGGGGAACTATGGCCCCTTCATGACTCGCGGACTTCAACTCCCAGAATTCCTGAGCCAGCATGGGGGAACTATGGCCCCTTCATGACTCGCGGACTTCAACTCCCAGAATTCCTGAGCCAGCATGGGGGAACTATGGCCCCTTCATGCTCGCGGACTTCAACTCCCAGAATTCCTCAGCCAGTGTGCCTGGCTGAGGAATTCTGGAAGTCCACAAGTCATCAAAGGACCCAGTTTGAAGACCACTGCTTTAAAGAGTCACTAAATGAATGATTGTAACTTGAGGATCACCTAGAATACCGTACCAGCCTTTATAAGAAGTGCATCTGTGGAATTTTGTCTTCCTTTATCCGCAGTTCTGATTTATCTCCGGATCATCTTGCGGACGTGGCGGGCTCTCCTCCCGAGTCTCTTTCCCCCGCGAGTCACCTGTACGACAGTGAATTGAACGACCCTCACTACGACCAGAGTCTCTTGGAAAATCTGTTCTACGCAGCTCAGGTGAGTAGAAAAGGTGTGTGCACCAAGGTCCCCATAGTCATTTTCTTCTTCTTCTTCTTCTTCTTCTTCTTCTTCTTCTTCTTCTTCTTCTTCTTCTTCTTCTTCTTCTTCTTCTTCTTCTTCTTCTTTCTTCCTCCCTCCTCCCTCCTCCTCCTCCTCCTCCTTCTCCTTCTCCTCCTTCTCCTCCTCCTTCTCCTCCGCCTCCGCCACCACCACCACCACCACCCCCTTCTAGCACTGATGATGTTACTTAGCTGGGTCATGAAATGTCTGCAAGGAAACAACCAAGCTCAGAGAGCATCAAGAACCCCACAGTCGTCGTCGTCGTTGTCGTCGTCGTCGTCGTCCTCCTCCTCCTCCTCCTCCTCCTCCTCCTCCTCCTCCTCCTCCTCCTCCCCACACACACCCTTCTCCCTTCTAGCACTGATAATGTTCCCTAGCTGGGTCACAAAACCTCTGCAAGGAAGGAGACAAGCTTAGGGAGCACCAAGGACCCCACACCTTAGCCCTGAGCTACGAGTATTCCCTTGTAATGTTTGTTTTCCTTGATTATTTTCCTCAGAAATCTGACGGCAGTTTCAGTGACATGTTTAGTGACGAGGAGGAGGAGGTGGAGGCTGTTTCTTCTGGAAAACTAAGTCGGCCTCAGGGCACAAAGCTGCAGAGATCACCAAAGGCTTTAGAATCGAGTCCTCGCACGCGGAAAGGGAAGGCCTTGGAGACAAAAGCCAGGTAAAACCGTTGTTCTGGAATCTTCTTTCTGCCACGTGCAGCCTCTGATGATGTTCAGTTCAGGTCTCATCCTTTAACCCAGGGGTCTTCAAACTTGGCCCTTTTATGACTTGTGGACTTCAACTCCCAGAATTCCTCAGCCAGGCATGCTGGTTGAGGAATTCTGGGAGTCGAAGTCCACACCTTTTAAAATGGCCGAGGTTGAGAAACACCAGTTTAGCTCTTTCTGAGTTAGCATTATTTTCCTCACATTATGTCAGGGGTCTTCAAACTTGGCCCTTTTAGAACTTGGCCCTTTTAGAACTAGGCTAGTGTGCCTAGCTGAGGAATTCTGGGAGTTGAAGTCCAGGGGTGTTCAAACTTGGCCCTTTGATGACTTGTGGACTTCAAGTCCCAGAATTCCTCAGCCAGCGTGCCAGGCTGAGGAATTCTGGGAGTTGAAGTCCAGGGGTCTTCAAACTTGGCCCTTTGATGACTTGTGGACTTCAACTCCCAGAATTCCTCAGCCAGCGGGCCTAGCTGAGGAATTCTGGGAGTTGAAGTCCAGGGGTCTTCAAACTTGGCCCTTTTATGACTGGGAGTTGAAGTCCACAAGTCATAAAAGGGCCAGGATTGAAGACCCCTGCTTTAACCTGAACAATGCAGATTTTCAGTATACATCTCTGCTGGTCAGTAAAGGACACAATTTCTCCAGGACTCTCCTTTCTTCTCTTATCTGGAGCTGATAGCCAAATACAGTAGGTTGAAGTGCCTGTTTCGGTACAAAAAAATAGCATTTTGTGACAATACATAATAACAGAGTTGGAAGGGACCTTGGAGGTCTTCTAGGCCAACCCCCTGCTCAGGCAGGAAACCCTGTACCATTTCAGACAAATGGCTGTCCAGTCTCTTCTTAAAAACTTCCAGTGTTGGAGCATTCACCGCTTCTGGAGGCAGGTGGTTCCACTGGTTAATTGTTCTCACTGTCAGGAAGTTTCTCCTTAGTTCTAGGTTGCTTCTCTCCTTGATGAGTTTCCATCCGTTGCTTCTTGTCCTGCCTTCAGGGGCTTTGGAGAATAGCTTGACTCCCTCTTCTTTGGGACAGCCCCTGAGATATTGGAACGCTTTTATCATGTCCACCCTGGTCCTTCTTTTTACTAAACAGAATATCAGAGTTGGAAGGGACTTTAGAGGTCATCTAGTCCAACCCCCTGCTCAGGCAGGGAAAAAATGTACCATTTCACACAAATGGCTGTCCAATCTCTTCTTAAAACCCTCCGGCAATGGAGAATTCACAACTTCTAGCAGCATGGAAAATAACACGATACCTTTCTTTGGGTGTCTTTTTTAATAAATAAGTTGAATTTAAGGGGCCACTTCCACCAATGAGTGATGCTCCGGTTGCAAGTGTGAAACTGGTCATAAGATGGATAGATTATATTCAGAGAAAATATGAAATGAACAATTACCATATAGCTTTTGATTAATTATGGTTACTTATAAATATTTTTTATATATAAGTTAAAAATATAGTTCATAGTTAAGGTGATTGTATGTTAGAGTTAAAGTAGGTTTATACTTGTTTATATTATGGTTGGGTTGTTTGGGTTAAATTTGGATTATTATATGTTTAATCCTGTACTCAGCTCTGGGACGTCGGGGGGGGAGGGGGAAGGGGATTAGGGGATTAAAATTATAAAAATTGATGTATTTAGATGTTATAGGTGAATAATAATTGTATTGAAAAAAGGAGATGCTCGGCTGGCACCCCAAACTGCACTCGAAGAGGCGGTTAAGAAGGGAGAAGGGATGTAGTTAGGTGGAAAGGAGGAAGGTGGAGAGGTTGTGGGAACAGAGGGAGGAAGGACAAGAAAGTGGAGCGTCTCCGAAAAGGTATTGATCTGGATTATTTTTTTTATTGTTTGTATATATAAATGCATCATATATATATTTGTTGTTTAATTACAAAAATTAATAAAACTTAATTTTTTTAAAAAAAAAAGTCACCTTTTTCAGTGCCGTTCTAATTTCGAACGGTCACTAAACAGACTGTGGTAATTCGAGGACCACCTGTAATACACCTGGTGATGCACGCAAGCATTTTAATTACAACAAGACCTCGGAGTTGTTTTAAGGCTGTTTCACTTAAACGTTTCTTCAGTCCCTTGTTTCTCTTTGCAGCCGTTCCCCTCCTCATCCGTCGCTCACCGAGTCCACAGATGAAATCCAAGCTGTCAATTTGAGCCTGGACAGACTGGCCTTGTTGGGCCGGATCCGCCTAGCCCGAGTGGTGATTGACAGCTTAAGAGGGGTCCCGCCAGAGGACAGCGCTCAGAGTACCCCCAATCCGAAGAGCCCCAGTGGGAAACCACCCAGGCCAGCTTTGGCTAAGAGAAGGTGAGAGTTTTAATCCGCCCTGTAAACTTGCCCACGTCACTAGACCTCATGGGAATTGCTCTTTTAATCGGAGAGCAGAGGCTTCTACAAATGATAAGGTGGGGGGGCAGGTCTCTTCCAAAGATCATTTTTAAGGTGGAAGTTCGGTCTAGTGGGGAAGACACCAGGGTAGAAACCAGGAGACGTGAGTTCTAGTTGCACCTTAGTCATGAAAGCGGCTGGGTGAATTTGGGCCAATCACCAGGAGACGGTGAGTTCTAGTCCTGCCTTAGACATGAAAGCCAACAATAACTTTAGGCCAATCACCAGGGGATGGTGAGTTCTAGTCCTGCCTTAGGCATGAAAGCCAGCTGAATGACTTTGGGCCAATCACCAGGAGACGGTGAGTTCTAGTCCTGCCTTAGGTATGAAAGCTGACTGGATGACTTTGGGCCAATCACCAGGAGATGGTGAGTTCTAGTTCCGCCTTAGGCATGAAAGGCGATTGGGTGACTTTAGGCCAGTGATGGTGAACCTTTTAGAGACAGAGTGCCCAAAAACCACCCCCCACTCCTGTCCCTGCTCCGCCGTGCCCGCTGGACCACCCACCACCTCCATGGCCCGCCACAGACCACCCAGGTAGCCCAGCAGCGCCATGGTGGCCATGCCCTCCACCCGTACCCTGCAGCATTATCTGCGCGCGATGGGGTGCAAGGGCGGAGTCTTGCCCCCGCTGCCCGGCTACCATGTCCTTGGCTGGCAGCATTGTGTGGGCCGTGCCCGGGGGCCGTGCCCGGAGGGCTGCTGATGAGGGGGCCGTGGGAGGAGGCGAGGCTGGGGTGACAGTGCGTGTGCCCACAGAGAGGGCTCCGAGTGCTGCCTCTGGCACGTGTGCCATAGGATCGCCACCACTGCTTTAGGCCAATCACCAGGAGACGGTGAGTTCTAGTCCCGCCTTACGCACGAAAGCCAACTGGGTGACTTTGGGACAGTCCCTCTCTCTTAGCCCAGTCCACCTCACAGGATTGTTGTTTATGTGCATCATGAATTAAGGAACGGATTAAGTCTCCCAAAGTTTTGTCAAGTCTTATTAAAAACACTGAAGGTCGTTGAACTGCCTCCATTTATTTCCACAATGTCTTCTCCGCCTAGGACGCTCTTTGTCGAGTATCACTTTCCAGTGGGAACTTCAAAAAATGGGATAGGCCAGACAGCCGTAACTACGGAGATTGTTCGGGTGGCTTCCAGTAGATTCTCAGCAGACGGTAAGACTTGAGTGGGCAGGCCACCATTTTTCCCATAATCCCGCGTTGGATCGAGCGGAGCCGGTTGTTCCATTGTCCACAGCGACCGTGACTGCCCTTTTAGAGATCCTGAAACTGAGCAAGTATTTAAAGAAATGTTTTCATTGCCGGAATTTAAATATAGATGGTCTTCCAACGGAGACGACAATTTCCATTGCTGAGCAAGGCTGTGTTAAGTTGTTGTGGTTGTTAGTTGCGAAGTCGTGTCCGACCCATTGCCGCCCCATGGACAACGTTCCTCCAGGCCTTCCTGTCCTCTACCATCTTCTGGAGTCCATTGAAGCTCACGCCTCCTGCTTCAGTGACTCCATCCAGCCACCTCCTTCTCTGTCGTCCCCTTCTTCTCTTGCCCTCCATCTTTCCCAGATTTAGGCCCTTCTCCAGGGAGTCCTTCCTGCTCATTAGCTGGCCAAAGTCCTAGAGTTTCATCTTCAGGATCTGGCCTTCTAAAGAGCAGTCGGGGTTGATCTCTTCTAGGACTGACCGGTTGGATCATTGGATCGCCTTGCAGTCCAGGGGACTCGCAGGAGTCTTCTCCAGCACCAGAGTTCAAAGGCCTCCATTCTTTGGCGCTCAGCCTTTCTTACGGTCCAACTTTCACAGCCATACGTTGCAACTGGGAAAACCATGGCCTTGACTCTACGCACTTTTGTTGGCAGGGTGATGTCTCTGCTTTTGAGTATGCTGTCTAGATTTGCCATAGCTTTCCTCCCCAGGAGCAAGCATCTTCTAATTTCTTGGCTGCAGTCCCCATCTGCGGTGATCTTGGAGCCCAGGAAGATAAAATCTGCCACTACCTCCATTTCTTCCCCATCTATTTGCCAGGAATTGAGAGTGATCTTGGTTTTCTTAATGTTGAGTTTCAAACCAACTTTTGCACTCTCTTTGAGAAGCGTGGATGTTTTATTGCCAAAACTAGGTAACATCATCGGCGCCAGTCGATGTGGTAAGGGAGCCCTGCCCAATTTTTACCACCATTTCTGCCACACGTCAATGAAGATTCTCAGTTATCCACGGCTGCATCAAAAGTGCTGTTTTATTTTGAGAAGGCAGCTGGACTGATTTATTTAATTTTGGGGGGGAAAAACAAACTGCAAATTGAGAATGTATCTCTATCCTGGGTCTATCCTGATTGCTCTTTTCTTTTCTTTTTTTTAATACCACTGCAGACATCCTAGATTCTTTCTTGAGTCTTCTTCTACCGAACCCTTGAAATGTTGACTTAGGAAATGCTTTTTCTACCATTTCTGTTTTGTTGTGTCTGCAGGGGTGAAGTTTCAACAACGCCACGTGTTCCCTGTCCACTTCAGTGGCTCCATGATCACCCATTGGTGGAAGTCGCCCCTCGAATTTAACTTGTTTTTGAAAAAAGGCACCCAAAGGAAGGTACAGTCATTTTCCATATTCTCCTCCTGGAGGAAAAGTAACTAAAGATTTGTTACACGGAAGGGAAGTGGATTTATTTTATGATTCATCGCAGGGCAGGACCAAAACCCCGATGGGTTAAACCAGGGGTCTTCCAACTTGGCCCTTTGATGACTTGTGGACTTCAACTCCCAGAATTCCTCAGCCAGGCACGCGTGCCTGGCTGAGGAATTCTGGGAGTTGAAGTCCACAAGTCCTCAAAGGGCCAAGTTGGAAGACCCCTGGCTGAAAACAACACAGAATTATTAGTTCGGCAACATCAGTCTTTCTGCATCTTGATATCTTGAAGGCAGGTGGCCCAAACTGACTATAATAGATATTATTTGTGTGAGGTTTTTTTAGCGTGCGCCTTTCACGTCACACTTCCTCGTGTTTTATCCTGCGTTTTGATTCGTTTTTGATAGCTATTTCAGCACTGTTGACTTGTAAAAGTGGGATGAAAAAGTTCTCAAATCATCATCAAATCTTTACTCGTTCGTAGACCAGTGTGTAGAGGACAGACACTGCAATTAATCAGAATAAAATGCAAAAGAAAGGATGTGTGCGTGTGCGTGTGCGTATACATACACATATATTAATACACCCATCCACACCTACACTGAAAAACATGACTTTTCACATTTATGACTTGCAGCATCCCCAGGGTCAAGTGATCAAAATTCAAAGGCTTGGCAACTGACTCATATTTATGACGGTCGCAGTGTCCTGGGGTCATGTGATCCCCTTTTGCGACCTTCTGACAAGCAAAGTCAATGGGGAAGGCCAAATTCACTTAACAGCCATGTTACTGACTTAACAACTGCCGTGATTCACTTAACAACACAGGCAAGAATATAAAATGGGGCAAAATCCACTTAACAAATGTCTCACTTAGCAACATTAATATATGTGTGTGTGTATGTATATATGCATGCATATCTATCATCTATCTATCTATCTATCTATCTCTTATCTATCTGTGTATATATATATCTGTATCTATATCTATCTATCTACATTCACCTATCTCTATCTCTCTATCTCTATCCGTCTCTCTGTGTCTGTCTGTCTGTCCGTCTGTCTGTCTTTCTGTACCTATCTATCTGTCTGTCTGTCTATCTAATCTATCTATCTATCTATCTATCTATCTATCTATCTATCTATCTATCTATCTATCTATCTATCTATCTATCTATCTATGTCTGCCTATCTGTCTGTCTATCTATCTATCTATCTATCTATCTATCTATCTATCTATCTATCTATCTATCTATCTATCTATCTATCTATGCCTATCTATCTGTCTATCTGTCTATCTATCTATCTATTTATCTATCTATCTATCTATCTATCTATCTATCTATCTATCTATCTATCTATCTATCTATGTCTGCCTATCTGTCTGTCTGTCTATCTATCTATCTATCTATCTATCTATCTATCTATCTATCTATCTATCTATCTATCTCTGCCTATCTATCTGTCTGTCTATCTATCTATCTATCTATCTATCTATCTATCTATGTCTGCCTATCTATCTGTCTGTCTGTCTATCTATCTATCTATCTATCTATCTATCTATCTATCTATCTATGCCTGTCTATCTGTCTATCTATCTATCTATCTATCTATCTATCTATCTATCTATCTATCTATCTATCTATCTATCTATCTATCTATCTATCTATGCCTGTCTATCTGTCTATCTATCTATCTATCTATCTATCTATCTATCTATCTATCTATCTATCTATCTATCTATCAACACACACGCATACATACATACATACATGCATGCATGCATGAGTGCACGCACATACACATATTCTAAAATATCTAAGGGGGTTAGAATCAATCCTACAGTGTAAAGTGTAGACTTTTGAGCAGTACCTGGCCCTAGACAGGGAGATGGAGTCGGACTGATCTGATACTAACATTTTAAGATAAAAACGAATTAGAACGGCCAGGGTATTTAATAAAAAGTGCAAATGACAACTCCTGGCGTGCAGATAAATATTCTCAAATATTTATCGACTCTGCTGCGTGATGCCTTTGACACTAAATTCTACTATCCAGCATTGATCATGTTTTTTGCCAGCGGTTGGGCGCTAAGTTTCAACTGCGCCTTGCGGTTTAGGAGTCCCTCGGCTAAGTATTCTAACCGGGATCACCCCAATAAACACTACAGAGTTTATGCTGTGTGTGCGCACCCTCTCAATAGACGCAGCACAGAATAGAGAATTCTGTGCAATAGGGATTGTGTAGCACCCGCAAGAGAACTGTGCAGAATGCACGTGATTGCTCTCATTGTGACCTTCAGCCAGCGTTGATCGGCACGGCAGCCTTTCCCCTGCGCGATGTTCTTCGGTCCGAGGATTTATTCGTCAGCCGTGAATTGCCGGTGAAAGAAAACGGCGTCCCAGGCCAATCGGGGCCTTTACAGGTATAGAATTTGCTTCTGACTTTTTAAAATTTCTAAAATCCCAGGCAATAACCCTCGTTTCGTCGTTCCACATTTGGATAGCATTGTTCATGGGTGGAAGAGCACGTGAGGGTGTGATTGCACAACCCACTTGTGGAAGATTGGTCCCTAAAGCCACGGGTGGGTCATTTTTTTCACAAGTTTGACATGTCTGCTCTAAAAGAAGGCAAATGAGCAGCTGTCTGCAAGGAGTATAAATCCTTCCACTCCCCACCATCCAGTCAGAGCAGACTACCTGTAGTTAGCACTGCCTTATCCAGGCCCTCTACGTAAGGCAGCCATTGTGCTGAAGCCATCTTTGGGCCGGCCGTTTTGAGGGGCACCATGGTTCCCCAGCAGAACAAAAAGCCCAGATTCGATTGTTGCCATCTCCTGATCAAATCAAGTAACAGATAATGAGGAAGAGGTATTTGTCTATCCCAAAGGTGCTTTTTTCAAGAGGCAAGTGGATTTTCTGGTTTTTTTGGTGAAGATGTTTTGCTTCTCATCCAAGAAGCTTCTTCAGCTCTGACTGGATGGTGGAAGATGGAAGGATTTATACTCCTTGAAGAAAAACTGGTCATTTGCATCCTTTTAGAGGGTCATTGAGGCCACTTGGAGGTCTGTCTGTGTCCTCAGGGTCACCTATCTATCTCCATTCTGCAACACAATCCTTTCAGCAGTTCCAAGAAGGCTCCACACCCATTTGCACCACTCAGGTGACCCTGAGGACACAGACAAACCTCCAGGTGGCCTCAACGACTCTCTAAAAGAATGCAAATGACCAGCTGTCTGAAAGAAGCATAAATCCTTCCATTTCCCCACCATCCAGTCAGAGCAGATGGTGAAGATGAGAAGCGAAACGTCTTCAAAGAAAAAACAAGAAAGTCCAGTTGCCTCCTGAAAAAGCACCTTTGGGTTTTTCCTTGAAGACGTTTCGCTTCTCCTCCCAGAAGCTTCTTCAACTCTGAGTGGATGGTGGGGAGTGGAAGGATTTATACTCCTTGCAGACAGCTGGTCGTTTGCATCCTTTTAGCGAGTCATTGAGGCCACTTGGAGGTTTGTCTGTGTCCTCGGGTCAACTGAGTGGTGCAAATGGGTGTGGAGCCTTCTTGGAACTGTGAAAGGACTGTGTTGTAGACTGGTTATAGACAGACCACCCATTTGCACCACTCAGGTGACCCTGAGGACACAGATAAGCCTCCAAGTGGCCTCAACGACTCTCTAAAACAGTGGTTCTCAACCTGTGGGTCGGGACCCCATTTGGGGTCGATCGACCATTTCACGGGGGTCACCAAGCAAGGCTGTCTGCCATTTTTTTTGTCCGCCATTTTTTCCCCCTTTTCCGGTGGGTGCCTTACCTCCCTTGGGCTGGGCCAGCTGGTGGTCGGCCTGCTCCGTCTCTGCCGCTTGCCAGCTACGCCTCGGCCGGCGCAGGGGGCAGAACCACGCATGTGCGGCGCTCCCGGGCAGGGAAAGTCCTCGACTTACGACCGGTTGGGTAGTCCTCGACTTACGACCGGTTTAGTTCTCGACTTACAACCGGTTTAGTCCTCGACTTACAACCGGTTGGGGTCGCGGCATTAAAAAGGTTGAGAACCACTGCTCTAAAAGGAGGCAAATGACCAGTTTTTCTGCAAGGAGTATAAATCCTTCCATTCCCCACCATGCAGTCAGAACTGAAGAAGCTTCTTGGATGAGAAGCGAAACGTCTTCAAAGAAAAACAAGGAAGTCCAGTGGCCTCCTGAAAAAGCATCTTTGGGACAACCAGGACCGGGAGGACGGAGAATCTCCATAGACGTTTAGAAGTTGGGTGGTAACGGGCCAGGGCTCCCTCATCCTCTTAACGGCGGTGTCTCTTAACTTCCACGTAATAGGTGTCTGTGGAGCTTGTCGTGGCCAACAAAGACGTCTCCAACATCAAAGCAAGCAGCGCATCGCCCAGAGCCCCCGTCGGTGCCGTCAGGAGCCACGGCGCCATTTTGCAGGAGGCCGAAAGCAGCCCCTCTCCCTCTACCAGAAGCCCTCAACGGAGCCGCCAGATCCCAGCGAGAAGCGAAGATCCTTTGCCAGCCGCTTCTCCGAGGTCCCCCAAGGACGCGGGTCGGCAGCCGGTCCCTCCGCCCGTCTCCCGCAACCTCCTGACGCAGATGAGCCCCTCGGGAGAGGAAGGGACGCTGCTGCACGTCCTCCTGATGGTCTCGGAAGGGCAGATCACTCTCCCTCCCAACGGGGGGCTGGACCTCGCTTGCAACCTGTACTTAATCTGCAAGCTCTTCAGCACCGAAGAGGCCACCAGGTCTGCTGTCGTGTGGGGGACCCCGCGGCCCACCTTCCATTTTTCTCAGGCAAGTCACGGCAACGTCCGTGGGCGTGGGTTGGGCATAGACGCGGGTCTCCCGTTGTCCGTTGTCCGTTGTCTCCTTACCACGAGTCGAGGAGCGGGAGTCTGTTGTCTCTTCACGTGTAAATTTAATAATAATAATAATAATAATAATAATAATAATAATAATAATAATAATAATAATAATAATAATAATAATAATATGTAGGGGTGTAGGTCTATACATATGTTGTGTATAGTATGTATATGTCGTATATAGTATGTTTAGGCGTGTGTCGTGTATGTGTTCACTTTGAGAGCGGGCCACTACATTGCATTTTTGATGTGTGTCGTTGTGCCCACAGTAAAAAATGACAATAAAGGTTACCTTATCTATATAAGATGATGATGATGATGATGATGATGATGATGATGATGATGATGATGATGATGATGATGATGATAATAATTATTATTATTATTCGCCATTAGTCAATTGCAAAAGGCGGCCTTACTAGGAACCGCTTCCATCCTGCGACGAGATCTGTAATAACATCAAACATCCACATCTGCCTATCCCAGGTCCTTGGGAAGGACTCGATAGGTAGACAAAATGCCAAATCCAGTCTGAACATCTGGCTGACTGTGCGATGATCAGTAATAATAATAATAATAATAATAATAATAATAATAATAATAATAATAATAATAATAAAGTTGGAAGGGACCTTGGAGGTCATCTAGTCCAAGCCCCTGAGCAAGCAGGAACCCTACACCATTTCAGACAAATGGCTGTCCAGTCTCTTAAAAGCTTCCACTGTTCGAGCATCTACAGCTTCTGGAGGTTCCACTGGTTAATTGTTCTCGCTGTCAGGAAGTTTCTTCTTAATTCCAGGTTGCTTCTCTCCTTGATCAGTTTCCATCCGTTGCTTCTTGTCCTGCCTTCAGGCACCTTGGAGAATAGCTTGACTCCCTCTTCTTTGGGGCAGCCCCTGAGATACTGGAAGGCTGCTGTCATGTCCCCCCTCGTCCTTCTCTTCGTTAAACTAGACATACCCAATTCCAGCAACCTTTCCTTATATGTTTTAGCCTCCAGTCCCCTGATCATCTTTGTTGCTCTTCTCTGCACTCTTTCTAGAGTCTCAACATCTTTTTTACATCGTGGTGACCAAAACTGGATGCAGTGTTCCAAGTGTGGCCTTACCAAGGCCTTGTAAAGTGGTATTAATACTTCACGTGATCTTGATTCTCTCCCTCTGTTAATGCAGCCTAGAATTGTGTTGGCTTTTTTAGCAGCTGCAGCACACGGCTGGCTCCTATTTAAGGGATTGTCCACTAGGACTCCGAGATCCCTCTCACAGTTGCTACTATTGGGCAAGGTACCCCCTATACTATACCTGTACATTTGGTTTTTCTTGCCTAAATGTAGAACCTTACTTTTTTCACCCTTGAATTTCATTTTGTTAGATAGCGCCCAGTGTTCAAGTCTATGATATGTTCAAGTTCAACATATCCTAGTCCAGGGGTAGGCAACCTGGGCTCTTTTATGACTTGTGGACTTCAACTCCCAGAATTCCTGAGCCAGCCATGCTGAGGGAAAAGAGAGAGGTTTCCAAGCTGAGCAACGCTAGCTCAGGAATTCTGGGAGTTGAAGTCCACGAGTCATGAAGGGGCCATAGTTCCCCCATGCTGGCTCAGGAATTCTGGGAGTTGAAGTCCACGAGTCATAAAAGAGCCAAGGTTGCCTACCCCTGTCCTAGGGGATATGTTGTTGAGGGATTATGTTGCCTGGCCTTCCTCAGGATTTGTAAGCTGCTCCGCTAATGGTCCAATCCTCCCTCTAGATTACCCCCGTTGCGTTGACATCGAAACATCTGGAGCGGCTGAAGAACAACGTCATGGTGATTGAGGTGTGGAATAAGGTGCTCAGCCCGGGAGGGGACCGGCTGCTGGGACTGGCCAAGCTTCCCCTGCATCAGTTCTACGTTTCGTTCAGGTAAGCATCTTCATTGGCTCCCCAGGGACAGGGGTAGGCAACCTGGGCTCTTTTATGACTCATGGACTTCAACTCCCAGAATTCCTGAGTCAGCTATGCTGAGTCAGCTATGCTATTGGAAGGCTGCTATCATGTCCCCCCTCGTCCTTCTCTTCGTTAAACGCGACATTCCCAATTCCAGCAACCGTTCCTTGTATGTTTTAGCCTCCAGTCCCCTGATCATCTTTGTTGCTCTTCTCTGCACTCTTTCCAGTGATTCACTTAACAACTGAGGCAAGAAAGGTCGTCAAACGGAGCAAACTTTAACTTAACAAATCTCTCACTTAGGAACAGAGAATCTGGGTTCCACTGGGGTTGTAAGACGAGGACTGTCTGTAGAGCAGGGGTCTCCAAACTTGAGCATTTTAAGATTTGTAGACTTCAACTCCCAGAATTCCTCAGCCAGCCCTGAGGAATTCTGGGAGTTGAAGTCCACCAGCCTTAAAGCAGCCCGGTTTGGCTGCCTGAGGAATTCTGGGAGATGGTCCACAAGTCTTAAAGCAGCCCAGTTTGGCTGGCTCAGGAATTCTGGGAGTTGAAGTCCACCAGTCTTAAAGTGGACAAGTTTAGCTGGCTGAGGAATTCTGGGAGTTGAAGTCCACCAGTCTTAAAGCGGCCCGGTTTGGCTGGCTGAGGAATTCTGGGAGTTGAAGTCCACCAGTCTTAAAGCGGCCCGGTTTGGCTGGCTGAGGAATTCTGGGAGTTGAAGTCCACCAGTCTTAAAGCAGCCCTGATGTACAGGAATCTGGCAAGCCAGGCCTTCTGATGGCTTCTGTCTCATCCCCCTGCAGAGACACCAAGGTTTCCAGCCTGCTGCTTCAGGCTCAGTATCCAGTGCTGGCAGTGGATGGCTCCGTGGACGTGGTCGACGTCTTCTCCGGTCAAAAGAACGGGACCCTGAAGACCACCTTAGCCATGGGTTCATCTGATCAGGTCTTGGCGCTGCAGAGAATCAAGAAGGAAGAAGGGACGGCATCTCCAGCCGTGCCGCGCCCACCCCATGCCCTGGACCCCTTCCCTGCAGCCTCCACTAAGGTGCGTCCACACCTGAGTGTTTCTATTTACAGTCGTGGCCAAAATTGTGGAAACCTTTTGGGAAAAGTGTCCAGTAGAAATGCCCCCTTTGGTTAAGTTTCCACCCATTTTTTCTTCTAATTTCTTTATAACTGTAGTCTTGTTCACTTAATAATACTATTTTGCATCGCTTTCTGGGCCACCAGTCAACTCTTTGCACGGTGACTTTAATTTTATTACATTTTACAAGCTCCCTAAATGAAAGAACACAAAAAAACCCAACCAACTTGATAGCCATCACATAACACCCTGACAAATGTCCTCCTCTCGGCTTCAATACGTGACATCAATAACTGGATCCCCCTGTGATCTGATTGGCTCATGGCCAAAACAAGACGACACCCGATTGGCTCTCTTAAACACTCATGCTCATTGGCTACAATCAGATGAAGGAAAGCTACCCGAGATCAACCTGAGCAAGTTGTGCTTCCTTTTTCTGGTTATTTGGCTATACCTTTTCATAGAATACAGTACAGATAATTGAACAAACTATGTTGCATTACATTCTTGATTATATTATCTTTCCATTGATATATAATTTTACGGTACTACTCCAAAACAAAAAGTGGTGTTATTAGCCACCAAACCTCAAAAATACACTTTTTCCCAAAAGGTTTCCACAATTTTGGCCGCTACTGTATTTCCCCCAAAGTTTCAAGTGGCATGCATACTATTCTTCTTTTTTTTTAATCAGTTAGAGCAGTGATGGCGAACCTTTTAAAGACCGAGTGCCCAAACTGCAACCCAAAACCCACTTATGCATCGTCGGGTGCCGGGTGGGTGTGGCCCATTGGGTGGGTGTGGCCCATTGGGTGGGTGTGGCCCATTGGGTGGGCGTGGCTGTGGTGGTAGCGGCAGACTGGGTGGGACTAAAAAGTTCAATCAATCAATTCCAACTTTGCAAGATCTTTTTTTTCCCCACGAGAAGTTGAAATTGACTGATTGAACCTTTTTTTTTTTTTTTTGCACAAGGCGATGAAGCCCTAAAGCGAAAAGGTTTTATAAAACCCAGCTGAAGGCCCAGGACTGGGGCGACGGTGCGCGTACCCACAGAGAGGGCTCTGAGTGCCGCCTCTGGCACCCGTGCCATAGGTTCGCCACCACTGAGTTAGAGAAAGAAAAGGCGTGAAAGAGTGTGATTTGACGGAGAGTTCTTGAACCTGGAGATTGGCCAGTTCTAATCCAGCGATGATTAGATGACATGCATAGCTAACATCATGAGTGAGAGAAGGGAGGAGGAGGAGGAGGAGGAGGAGGAGGAGGAGGAGGAGGAGGAGGAGGAGGAGAAGAAGAAGAACTCTGGGGCCCTTGTTGCTCTCTGAACTTGGCAGTTTTCTTGCAGACGTTTCGTGACCTAGCTAGGTAACATCATCAGTGCTAAGAGGATGGGGTTTGTGGAGGAGCAGGAGGAGCTGGAAGATGACTGCAGGGTCCTTGGGGCTCTCTGAGCTTGGCAGTTTTCTTGCAGATGCTGGATGACCCAGCTAGGTGACATCATCAGTGCTAGAAGGGGGTGCAGTCGGAGGAGGAGGATTATGGGGTCCTTGGTGCTCTCTGAGCTTGGTTGTTTTCTTGCAGACGTTTCATGACCCAGCTAGGTGACATCATCAGTGCTAGAAGGGGGTAGAGTTGGAGGAGGAGGATTATGGGGTCCTTGGTGCTCTCTCAGCTTGGCAGTTTCCTTGCTGACGTTTCATGACCCTACTAGGTGACATCATCAGTGCTAGAAGAGAGTGGGGTTTGTAGAAGAGGAGGAGGAGGAGGAAGATTGGTGATAGACAACTGTGGGGTCCTTGGTGCTCTCTGAGCTGGGTGGTTTTCTTGCAGACATTTCATGACCCAACTAGGTAACATCATCAGTGCTAGAAGGGAGGAGGAGGGAGGGAGGGAGGGAGGGAGGGAGGGAGGGAGGGAAGGAAGGAAGGAAGGAAAGAAGGAAGGAAGGAAGGAAGGAAGGAAGGAAGGAAGGTGGGGTCCTTGACGCTCTCTGAGCTGGGTGGTTTCCTTGCAGACATTTCATTACCCAACTAGGTAACATCATCAATGTTAGAAGGGTTTGCTGTCTGTTTACATACTAGCGGCTTGCCCTGTTAGCAATTTTATGTACAAGTTTAGTGACTGTTCAAAGTTACAACGCCACTGATAAAAGGGACATGACCGTTTCCCACCCTTAACGGCCATTGCAGCACGATCAAGGTCACGTGGTAAACATTCAGACTCTTGGCAACTAACTGACTCATACTTACGACGGTTGCAGCCTCCCAGCTGCACCTGATCCCCTTTTGCCACCGTCCGGGCAAGCAAAGCGAACGGGGAAACCCGTTCCAGTTAACGACCCCGTCGCTAACTTCACAACTGCATCGCTTCCCATAACAGCTGTTGGCAAGGAAGGTCGTAAAACGGGGCAAAGCTCGCTTAACGACTGTCTTGCTCAGCAGCGGGAAATCCGGGCTCCCGTGCGGTCGTAAGTCAAGGACTGCCTCCAAGCTTTTTCCCAGAGGCCCAGCCTTGAAGGATGTGGCCTCAAATGGGAGAAATATAAGGCTGGGAGAATTTCTGGGAGGGGGGGGGACATCCGAGCGGCTTGCTCGTTTTACGTCCGGTATGCGAGGTCGCTTCTTTGAGACGAAGTCTAATCGATGTCCTTCCCTCCCTTCCTTTTTTTTGTCTTCTCCAGCTGCCCAGCAGGGGAAAGGAAGGCCTGGTGGAACACACCTTTGAGGTCCACATTGAGGGGCTCCAAGGCCTGACGCCCCTCCAGTCCACCGTCTGGGGAGAAGCAGACTGTTACGTCCAGTACCACTTTCCTGCTCCGGGTTCAGAGTCCGACGCGCTCCGGGAAGCAGGGCTAAGCGGGAAGGGTGAGTTTCTTACGAAAAGCTCCTTTCAGACGGGCTCCCCCCCCCCCCCCGGTTCCCTTTGCTCCTTGACAGTAATGGCAACAAGAGCCTAACCGAAGAAGCACCGAGGATCCTCCCAGCAACCCTGGCAGTTGTGTGGAAACAGAAAGCAAACTCTACTCCGTGCTAACACTGATGGTGTTCCCTAGTTGGGTCAGGAAACGTCTGTAAGCAAAGTGCCAAGCTCAGAAAGCACCAGGGACCCCACAGTTGCCATCCTCCTCCTCTTCCTCCTCCTCCTCCTCTTCCTCCTCCTCCTCCTCCTCCTCCTCCTCCTCCTCCTCCTCCTCCCTTCTAGCACTGACGATGTTCCCTAGTTGGATCATGAAACGTCTGCAAGGAAACCACCCAGCTCAGAGAGCACCAAGGATCCCACAGT